GCCTCCAGATTCAGCCGCTGTTGAAACTGATCAGTTTCAGCAGCGGCTGAATCTGGAGGCCAGTTCCGACTTACATACAGATTCAACTTAAGAACAAACCTACAGTCCCTATCTTGTACGTAACCCGGGGAATGCCTGTACTGGCCTAAAGGTTACCAAAGGGAAGTCCTCCACCCTTGCCCCCTGGACTACTTTATGAGGCCTCCAGATTCAGCCGCTGTTGAAACTGATCAGTTTCAGCAGCGGCTGAATCTGGAGGCCAGTTCCGACTTACATACAGATTCAACTTAAGAACAAACCTACAGTCCCTATCTTGTACGTAACCCGGGGAATGCCTGTACTGGCCTAAAGGTTACCAAAGGGAAGTCCTCCACCCTTGCCCCCTGGACTACTTTATGAGCTCACCTATGTGCGCCTAATGTGGTAAGTGAGCTCTGAGCATGTTTACCAGGTCAGAACCTGCAAGCAAGTTAGGCGAAGAAGCACTTGCCTTCCCCCAGTTCAGACATAGCATTGGAGCTTAGAGTGAAGCAGCTGTGCATACGTTTGGCGGCAGAAATATCAGCGCCCACTGAAATTTTATTGCAAATTTTTTGATGCTAAACAAGTTTATTTGCCCATAGGTCTTGGTAGCATGTGAGAAGAGGTTTGGCAAATTTCAATGAGGCCTGATTCTGGGTTTTAGGCACCTAAAGTGGCAGTTGGGTATCTACATCTTTTTATTAACCTCCCCTACCTTTAAAAAAAATGTTAACAGCTTTAATATATTTATTCTATTTTAAAACTGAGGGTTAGAGTGAAAAGAAAAACAACTGCTTCACTATTCATCCCTGTTCACCTCCTACTCCCCATTCAGCTAATTTTTCCTTGCTTTTTAGAAATCATGTAGGGGAGGGGAGACACCGAGGAGGGGGTCCTCCTCTCTTTTTCCTCATTTCCTCTCCTCTTCTGGCTTCTACTTGTTTCTATTTTCAGTATCCCTTCTCCTTCCCTCTCCTAATACTATTTTAGAGGTATTACAAAAAATCCCAGACTCCAAACTCAGTATTTGGTTAGGATACTATACTCAGCAAGAAAAGGTCCTTGGAAAAGCAGTTTACATAGCTAACCTATTAACAAATGTGTTAACAGAGGTCTTGGGAGTTTACATATCCAGGTCATTGGCCAAGCACTAGACAGTACCATGTCGTGTTCAGCATTCTCTGGTTTAATTAGTAAGTTCTAGAAACAACAGAGAGACATCCATTTTCTCATCACTGGCCTTCAAGGTCAATGGTATCAGGGACACATAACAATAGTGTTTCAGAAAAGTAGTCTAAGCATACTGAATAACATGCTTATATTATAAGCCCAAAGAGCAACTCCAGCTATATTAATTACGTAGCTGAAGTCAACATACCTCGATTCAAGTTTTTTTTATGTCCTACAGCATGAGGCCGATGGGAGAAAATGCTTTCATCGGCTTCTCTTACTCCGCACAAGAAAAGGAGGACCAGCTGCTGACGGGGGCACCCTCTGAGTTCAATTTAGCAGATCTTACCCAGACCCATAAAATCAAACTCTGGAAGATGGAATCATAGTAGTGCTGATCTTCTGCTAAGTGAAGACATGGTCTTAAAAGCTGTCAGTAACAGAAGTTTGGAAGCCACTGCCCTAACCTTTATCAACTGCCCTGAACAATTTTTTGGTATTGTGTTTCCTAGTATAATGTGGATAACATTATGTTGAAAAATGTGAAAAGGAGTTGGGTTCTTTAACAAAAAAAACCCCCCACACAAAACAAAAAACACACACAACCCCACTACTCTGGAAGTAACTGCTAAGTTAGGCAAGTTTCTTTGAAAATATTGACATTGCTGTAATTCTTGATTTCTAATTTACCTACTGTTGATGAGTTATTAATAAGTCAAGACATGAAAACTCATGCAAGAAATACAAAAGTAATCAGTGTAGCATTTGTTATTAACTTTAATATGAAATTTCTAATAAAAAAAAAAAGCAGAATCGTCCTTCCATGATTGTAGCTGAAATATTTCAATCAAAGATTTCATTTTCTCTCGCTCATTTTACCTTAAGTGCATACTTCAGTTCATGGGCATCAAAATGTCGCGCTGGTCTCATCAAAGCCACCATCAGGGTTTCAAATTTGCCAGTCAGTTCTGATTTCAGGTCATCAACAAGATCCTAACTCACAGAATAAACAGTACTACAATTAGGAAGGAAGCCATTTCAAAAGGCATGCAAACTAGCTTACAGCTGAGCCACTGCTAGTTTTTTGAGACAGGACAGCAGGGGAGTGAGGGAGAAATTGTGTAGCTGAAAGTATAAAGCAAGACAGAGAATGCACTGGTATTTTGTAATGTAGCAACACATTTTGGTCTGAGAGCTACAGAAAATACTGTGGTCGATCTCACATAGGAATAAATTACTACAGGTTGGACCTCCCTAGACCAGTCCTGGATGAGAGATTTTGCCAGACCAGGTGAGGTCATTTCTGCCCCCCCTGCTGCTGGCCCCCACTCCCGGCTCCTCACCTCCTGCTGGCCCCGCTGCCCTGCCAACTCCTCTGAGCAGCCATCACTGCCCTAGCTTCAAGTCCCACAGGGCAGCTGTGCACATCTCCCAACCTCACTGGGCAGAACCTGCTGTCATGCACTGGACGGCCCACTGGCCCTCCACCGGGACTCTCTTGTCCTGCAACATCCATGCTGGACCATGGATGTTGCCAGACCAGAGAATCCTGGTTAAGAGAGTTTCAAACTGTAGTTTAAAGCAAAAGCAGGATACCAATAGAAGAAAAGTAATGAACTAATCCAACTTCAACAAATGGATATTTATGCATATTAAAGCATACAGATTTTAACAGTTAAATGTTCACACACAACCTTCAACTCAAGTATTTTCATACTAAAAAGCAATGGCTGAAATTTTCAACACTAAGTCTAAATCCTCTACACAGATTAGAAAATCTCTATCTAGTTTAGGAGAAGACTCCATATGCCAGAGACAGATTTTTCCAAATTTCAGCGCAGGATCAGGTCTGGAGCACTGCAGCAGCTTCCAGCAGCCCCTGTGAGCATAGGGTTGAGGCTGGAGCCTTGTGGCAGTCCAGGGCCAGAGTCCCTGCAGGAAACCCCAGGAGCACAGAGCTGGGGCCAGAGCCCCATCTCTGTGGCTGCCCCCGGCTGGGCAGGGCCAGAGCCCCAAAGCAGAAGCCAGATCCTGTGCCACCCAGGCAGCCAGCAGTAGCTGGGCAAGAAGCCCAGCCAGATTGAGGGGGTGGGCAATACAGGGCTGCCAGCTGGGGCATCCTGCCAACTGCAGGCGATGTGTTGGGGGCGGTGACAGAAGTCCTCTCTTGGTCCAGCAAATTCTCTCGTTCGGGACCAGTCAGGTGCCGACTATGCCAGACCAGGGAGGTCCAACCTGTACCAATTGTTTGTTCCATTATTTGAATACTGGTTTTCCTAGTACAAGCTTCTGATTTTTAAGAATGCTTGAACATTTATATATCCTAGTTCCCTATAATGCACACAGGGTATTCCTACATGTCTTGCATACTATTACAATGATTTAGGAAATAGAGTCAAGTATCAGAGGGGTAGCCGAGTTAGTCTGAATCTGCAAAAGCGACGAGGAGTCCTGTGGCACCTTATAGACTAACTGAAGTGTAGGAGCATAAGCTTTCGTGGGCAAAGACCCACTTCGTCAGATGCATGACGAAAATAGAATACGAAATAGAGTTTACTATGACTGATAGCTAAACAAAATACAAACCCACTGTGATTGCTATGAGTAGGAGTACGGGGGGGGGGGTTAAAAATAAACAAAAAAAAGAATAATATCTAACTGTACTCTCTATTTGAAATAAAGGTCAAAAAGACAGTTATCCAACTGGGCTAGGATAACAAAATCTCTTCTTTCCATCTTCCAACTAGGTTTTCCTCTCTTTTTGCAAACAGTGGATACTTACAAAATGTGACAAATCAAGGCACTAGAAAGTTCTGTCCACACTAAATCAAGAATCACCTCTGGCATCAAAATATTCATATTCTTTGTATATCGCAGGAAGATCAAACCTCAGAGCATAAAAAGAGTAATAGTAAAGTGAAGATGCTATTTGGACTATACTATGTCAAAAGACTCCACTGAAGGAGCACATGGAAAAGAGAAAGTAATGTCTGTTTGATAATCTAAATGGAATATTCTTATTTCATTGGTGATTAAGATTTTTTTTTTAAAAGTAAAATAGCAGAACTGCATATTCTCATTTAACATTCTACAGAAGAGTGGATTCTGCAGTGAGAGTTGATTTTAAAGTACATTTTTTTCTTCCTCTTACCCTGCCAAATAAGGTTTTGAAAGCAGCTGCAATTTGTTGGCGCTGAGCATTGCTTCTGCCTGTAAGGATCTTCACAATGGCGTCTTCATCAGTACCTGAAGTTATATGAAGAGGGGAGAAGAAAGAACATGCAAAGGTATAAAAAACTTTTCTAAAAACCTAATGGTGTGAACTTTGAAAGGACCGAATGCCAAGAAGAGGCACTAAATCAGATAGGAAGCAGACAACAGTTTAATTAAGTAGCCACAATGATGAAAATTTCAGTATACCTCACACCATCCCATTACGTTTTGACACACTGGTCTGAGAATCAAATGGATAGTGTTCTGACATACTACTCTCCGGCAGGACACCACTGCAGAATCCTACAGAATTAATCTGGGCTCTTATTATATTTAAAATGCAGAGGTGCAGCAATCAGCACAAGCCTGGACAGCTTGGTCCTGGCTCATGCTTAGTCCAGCAGCCTCACCAGCCCTATCCACTGTGCACAGGGGTTGCTTTGTGGCAACAGCCTGTCTGTCGGAGGGAGAGGGGCAGCTCCCCACTGGGACCACTGCAGACAGGGGCTGCTTTGCAGCCATGTCCCCTATCCACTCGTTACCTCCGATAGAGGAAGCAGGGCAGGAGCAGGCAGCATCCTGGAGATGGTGCTGAGGGGAAACCGGCTTTTAAGCCACCTGCCCCCAACACTGGTCCCTGTCCCAGCCTTTGCTGCCTCATATAGAGGCAGCAAGGAGAGCACAGGGAAAGTAGAGACTGCTTGAGTCCCTGCTAGTCCAGTACTCCCTGTGTCACTTCTGCTTTTGAAATGTACATTTCAAAAGCAAAAGCACCCACAGTGGGAACCTGCTCAAGCCTCTGCCTCCACGGCCCTCCACAAAGCCCATGCCGGGATGAACCAGCTAAAGCTGGTTCCCCCCCGCACCAGCTCCTGCTCCTTCTTCCCCCCCCCCCCAACCTCTCTCTGATAGAGTGCTCACATAATTTTGTCCTGCAGGATGGAAGGGGGAAAAAAAAGAGCTCATATGACAGATTTTAGTCTCACTGCTTAGTAGAATTCCGAAAGGCATGGATTAGAAAAAAAAAAAAAAAGAGAGAAAAGATTGAAGACCGTCATCTAGATCTCAACCTCTTTCAAATATGGACCTGTCAGAGGCATCAAGCTGGGCCTGAAATCGATTCTGTCAGCATTCTCTGATAGAGGCAGCAAGGGGATGGGGGAAGCGACTAGACCAGTTGCTACTCAACTATCCGATAAGCATTTGCTTAGCAGATAATCGATTAGTCTTATTTTATGTGCAGCAGATGACAAAACTGTTTTCACACTGAGCCATTACTATTCTCGTTAATGATGTAGCATGGTCCTATATGAATCAACTGAGGTACCGAGAGCCTACATACTATGCCTTACCCCGGCTCAGTAAGGCATAGCACTGGCCCTTTGCTCTGCTTATCAACTCAAGGGAGAAGTAGGGCAGAGTTACATGACCCCAAAGTACAGCACCAGGCAAGGGGGCTTCTACATAAGACTCCACACGGGCTATTCTAGTTCTCATTACCCACAAAATCTCCTCATGTGGAAGGGAACAGAGGATGTGCCGTTGCAGAAGGGGCTCAAGTCTCAATTCCGGTACATGCCCTTGGTTTTGAACAAGGGAAGTGGCTGTCATCTCCCTGTGCCAGGCTAGGGGGTGAACTCTCAAGAATGGCAGACCCAGAACTGGAACAAACCCTGGCACTTGTGCTTACAGGGTTAGAATTTCATCACGTCACTATTAAAAAAATCTCTTATCTTTGTTTGTTTTAGCTAATGTAAAACATCCATGTGCAGCCATTGTGTTGTGTCCGAAAAGGAAAACGAAGAGCTTCCCATCCGGCTGACAGAAATAACTCTCTCTGAGCTCTCATGGCCAAAACTCTTACCCAAGCCTTTCATTGCCTTACGGAGAGCCTCAGCATCACTTCTGGCATCAAAACCGGGAAAGTCTTTCACGGTGCCTCTGGAGAGCTGAAGGAGAAAAATGCTATGAATCAACAGCTGCTGGCTTATAACACCGGTCCCTGGTACATCTGTTCATATTAGGATCCCAGCTGGGACTTGGGAATGAGATTTGAAAGTTAATTTTTTTGCTAGAAATGCTGTTTAGACATTGTAGCAAAAACTGGTTTAAACACAATTCTTGCCAGATAGGTGCTAATGTGGTTTCAATTCAGCGTACACATGAGCTACCAGGGGCATGGGTCCACTTATATGAAAGTGGCTTACAAGACCAGGGCCTTAAACATTAGTACCTGAAAACAACATATTTGCATGGTACCCAGAGCAAACCATACTATTTGTGGCTTTGCATTTATATACAGGACATGTCCTAGAAAAAGGTGTGCATGGAATCCTGGGGACACTTGTATTGTTTTAAAAGAATGGACCCCAGACAGAGCACAAAAGATATATTACTTACCTGGAGAAAAAGGTATAAAAGATATGTCACACAGCACCACATTTTAAAAAGTTTCATGACACTCGACTAGTTGCTTACATCCCTACAGCAGTGTACTAAATAATCCAAGGGCCAGACTTCTCATATCAAATCTCATGACTTTTATTCTAGCCCAGTCTTATTCAATAAGCTTTCTTTACATCCAAAAAAAAAATCCTGTAAACATTTAGGCACAGTTCAAAATACCAGCAAAGGCAGGCAAATACAGCAGAAACCCAGGAAATAATTTACTTATTTCTCATCATCCATATTTTACAAGCCATACAATCACCTGGCTTCTGAGAGGAAGTCCTGACCTCAGCTCAGCAATTTCAATGACTCAGGGGTATTGTTACAAGTTGGTGGAAGTGATTTTGCACACTGGGCGGGAGAGGAAATCAGCCGCAATGGAAAGGAGAAAAAGGAGAACTAGCATGTAAGCAGTAACTAGCATCAATGCACCTTGGAAGCAACGAAGTTTCTCAAACCAAGTCTGTATGATCCTCTAGTGGGAGCATTGCTGCATGTCTTAAGTTTACCAAAGTGCTTCTCAAAGTGTGAGATAAGATTAACAAACAAATTAACCAGTATCATATCAACATTTAAACATATACAGAATCACCTTGTTTAACAGAGGCACTATATTTTTAATTTCTTCCATTCACAACATATACGCAGGATAAGATACTCCCCTTGTAGCATTTAATTTTCCATTTCATACAATGAGCAATGTCTCTACTTCCTGTTAAACTCTTTAGTCTGGCCTCAGGCCCTGACTAGTACCAAACCAGAGAATTTGCTGAACCATGGGAGGTCAATATTGTCTAGAAGCATTATCAACACTTCCGCTGCTTACTGGGCTCTCAGAAGACATTTTGGGGTAAATTAGGGCTAAACAACTGCACAAAACACTGGTGGTGCTAAACGAACTTTATGGAACTTTTGGAAACTTGGCCACACCCAAGGTAAGCGGACATCCAGATAACTAAATGATGCCAGACCATACAGGTTCACCGTGCATAAGCCTTTCAGCATATATTCGTTATCTTTCACATACACACACGCTGGGGGAGGGGGGCGGAGGGAAATCCCTGCTGATCACACTAGCAAACAGAATTTGATTTAGCAAGTCAAACACTGGAGATTAAATAAGACCTCCATCCAGTCACCTTGTCCAGCCCCCTTGCCAATGCATTGTTATTCAACAAAATATCCTCTCATGCTTTACAGTCTAGTTTCAGATAATTCAAGCTATTCCACAGTTCATCAGGTCTCATATTTAGAAAGTGGTTCCTGGTTTCTAGCCTTAGGTATAATTGGATGAGCAAAGGAAACCCTAAGTGGAATATCCTGAACAATTCCTAATTCCCCTTTCAATGGTCCGAAGTTCCTTAGCCATCTTTCAGTCAAGTTACACAAAAAGATACTAAGTATCTTAGATCTAGATTCACTCTCTCCAGCACCTTTCTTTAGTTTTTTGTTAACTAAACAAATCTTTCATAATTCTCTTTCATAATTCTCATTTGCAAAGTGTACCATAGAAAGCCTCTGTATTTACTGAGTTTGCCCCAAAAATCCTGAAATATTTTGGCATAGATGTGAACTAGAAAAACATTCCTAAGTGTCAGGGTTCATTTGCATAGTAAACATTCCACTTTGAAGCAAAGTTGCTATAACCCTGTACTAGCACAGTACGTATCTATTGGTCTTCTAAAATGCACCCTGCCATATAACTCCTATCACAGCCTTTTAGACAGGAGGAGGTTATCCTTCCTCATACCTTGCTTAGACTAGTCTTTGAGGCTGCATCTTCAATAAGAAGTTTCGTACCCATTTCACAGCAACGGTAGAAGCACTAAAAGCCTGGCAATTGCAGCACCCTCATGGGAGGTGTGTTTAAATCCCTACCTCAAAACTGACAGGAGTGGAGACTCAAACCTGAATCTTTCACATCCCAGGTGAATGCTTTAACCATTGGGTGAAATAAGACAAAGCTCCCCAACCAACCACTGAATTTCCCTACCTGCTCACCTCCGCTGTCTTTTGCATGGTTTTGCATACTCTGAGCTCACCTACTGGCTCAGGTCCTGAAAGCCAGGTGGACAAGGGAATGCCTAGTTTGAGAAACACCCTGGCAATTAGGAGTAAGCTAAGGCAATGAGTAACTCTGTGGCAGGACTTTTGGTGGCTTCTACACATTTTCCCTCTTTCCTGCCCTCACCCCACCCTGCCACAGAAATGTAAGCATCTATACAGTTAGGTAGCACCCAAGTAGACATTTTGAAAATATTAGTAATTTCTAAATGCCAGTTTAGATGCCTATTAGGGATGTTAAGAAGCGTGTAATTCGTTAATCATGTAGTCAACAAAATGTGTTGACTACACAATTAGTCAACAGGGGGTAGCACGGCTACCACTCAATCCTACAAGCACTCGTAGTGCAGAGCCACAGTGGGGGGTTGATGCTGGGTCGCAGGACTAAGAGCTTGTGCATGGGCAGACTGGCTCACTCCCGGCTCGCACGGGGATCCAGCATCAACCCCCACCCTGGCACTTAGTGCTTATAGTGCAGAGCCACAGCGAGAGTTGATGCTGGGTCCTGGGACTGAGCCAGCCTGTCAAAAAATTTACTTGTAAGGGGTGGGGAGGAGTGTTGATGTAGTCGATAATGTTAACCAATAAGTACCTACTCGTCAGTTAGTCATTCAGTCGACAATATTATTATGTCCTTAATGCCTATCTTCCTGTTTAATGCTCTGTTAATCAGTCTACACTGGGGAAGTCTGAAATAGTATTTTGATAGAGGTACTGTTTATTAGAGCATGATGAAATAAAACATATTTTCCATTTAAAGTAACCTGAAGAAATTGAATTGCCTCTTACAGCTTTTAAAAAAAGGGGGGGGGGGGGACAAAGTCAATTGAGTTCTGTAAAGGTAAAAGATCTCTTTCCATGATAAGGGCACACAGCTCCAAGACCACATGTACAGCCTTACAAAGCCACAGATGTAGCTGCAAATATCCATGACTTATTTTTGAGGATACAGATGAGGGTACAAATGTTGTATCCATACAGAGCTCTACTCACATGTGCTTAACTGGACTACGGAGCAGAATCACTATCTTGGAACTATTCCAAACTCCTTCCTGCCTAAGCATTCCAATCCCCTTGGTTTAAAAAAGGTAAAGTTTAGAACAACAGTATTTAGATCAGTAACCATTTCATGTCAATATAATTTATGTAAATCCTGAAGATGCATATTGAGGCTAAAAGCTACTGCTAAAAGTTTCATTAATATAAGATTGGCTCAATGCATAATTGAATAATTCCACAGACTACACACTTGGAAAGTACTCACACATTTGATAACTTGTGTAAATAGTTGGACATTATAGACCAGCATAAAAGTTTTCAGGATTTTCAGAATTGTGGTGTATTTATGTTTGACGCATTTGTATAAACATATAGGGTGATTATTGTTTTGTTTGTTATTCAAACTATCATTTAGCCTCAAATGTTACACACACAACTCCTGATTGAAAATGAAAAAAAATAATAAGAGACTGTAAAAGGCATAAAACTTTCTGGAGGAAAATGGCTGAAAAAGCATTAGAACAGATTAGCAGCCTACAGATCTATCAAAGGAGTTTAGCGTGGTTACTAATAAACCATCTTGTTAGTCTTTAAAGTGCTACATAGTCCTGTATTTTGTTTCAGTGTTGAGAAGTAGTTTTCCACACAAACTAAACGGCAGAATAGAGTACAGGAAAAAAAGACCAAAATTTTCTCCCCTCTTCCCCTTGCTCCAGTGGAAAATGGCTACACCCACTCAGAGCAGAAATATGCAGTACAGAAAACTTGGCTAAACACAAGGAAACTGTGAGAAAAAGTTAGTCTGATGTTTATCTCACATGGTTACAATGAGATGTTCTTTCAATGACTTTAGGGTGGGTTTATTAGAGACAGGCCAAAACTTAAAAACAAACAAACCACCAGAGTTTAGAAAAAAGAAAAGGACAGTTTAGAAAGAAAGCTGCCTAGCTTTGGAGAGGTTACAGAAAGCCCACGTCATTCACTCCTGCACTTTTACTATGTTTCCAAGACACTAAAAGGGAACTGTGGTTAAAAACAGCTGCTGCCACAGAAAAACCTGGGCAGTGAGGAACAATTAAAGAAGCACCAGCCAGGAAAGAAAAGTCAGGATGGACTGAAAGCAACAGGCATCAGCATCAGAGTTGGTTAAATGTCCCTCCTGCAGGAATTTGCCACGCAGGCAGCTGCGTTGTAGCTCAGGAAAGCTTATGCTCCAATACTCTAGGCAATGTGCTTGTCTTTCAAGGGGCAGCAGAGAGGAAAGGAAACGGCTAGCCACGCCCTGGTGCACAGCTCCTGCCGGCGGAGCTGTGGCAAAAGCCAGCCTGGAGCTAATGAAAGAGCTGGCTGGGACCCGGGTTGCAACAGGCCAGTACCTGTAAGAAAGGTGGGTTCCTTTCAGCCCCGAGCGCCACCAGACCCCTGGCTGTTTTGACCCTTAGGCAACACACAGGGCAGGGTCTCACCTTTGCCATGGCGCCGGTCCTGCGGCTCAGGGGGCAGAGAAGCGAGCGGGCGGGGCTGGCAGAGACAGTGCGCGGCGTCCTTGTCCCGCGGGCAGCTCAGCCTAGTGGAAAAACACGTTATGCGGTGCCCGGGCCAGGAAGGCAGCAGCCGCCAGAGCCCGGCTCCCTCCCACTTCTCCCGAGACTCACGGCGGCTGGAGCGCGGCGAGTTGCGTGCAGCACTGGAGAAGCAGCGGCCCCGCTGTGCCCCAGCCACGCCCGGTGCTCGAGTCACATCCCCCCCTTTCTCCCCGCTCCGCCTGCGCAGCTCGCAGCAGCCACGCCCCGGCCCCAAGCGCGCTGCGAGAATCCCCAGCGCCGAGCCCTGGGTGCTCGGCCCTGAGCGCTTTCCACCCTGCGGCCGGAGTAGCCTTGTAGCTGGTGGCGCTGAGGCGAGGCAGGCTGGCCGGCGCGGCAGGGAGCGATGAAAGGCGGGTGTAAAAAAAAAAAACACCTAAGTAGTCTCAGGTCTTCGCTGGTTTTGCCCCTGAATGAGCTGCTTGGGGAAGCCACGGCCTGGAGGGGAGAGGAAGGGAGGGTGTTTCACCCTGTTGGCAAGGAGATGGAGGTCAAGCCTTTAAGGAACCCAGCTTTCCTCCCCCTGGCTCGTTTTGTGTTGGCAATGCAGGGCGGCTGGAACTAGGGTGCCCCTGCTGCCACCCGCCCTGGCTTTTCCTTCACAGACAGGATTTGCAGTTTGGTTGAATATTGGCTCTTAGGGTGTGTCTAGACTACAGGGTTTTGTCACAAAAGTGGACTTTTGTCAACAAAACTAAACCTGGGTCTATACTACCGCTCAGTTCTGTCGACAGAACTCAGCAGTTTTGTCGACGCTGGTAAACCTCATTTTACGAGGAATAACGCCTTCTGTCAACAGTTCTGTCAACAGAAGGCGTTATTGCATCTAAACTGTCCTTTGCGTCTACACTGCCATGTCGACAAAGCAGCTTGCTTTGTCGGCAGAACTGAATGTAGTCTAGACGCTCTTTGTCGACAGAAGCTTTGTCGGCAATATCTGTCGACAAAAGCCTGTAGTCTAGATGTACCCTTAGGGTTGCCAGGTGGCCAGTTTTGAACAGGACAGTCCAGTATTTGAGCTTTCTATTCAGGAAACAAATTGAGAAAATATAAATGTCTGGTATTTTCTAAATAAGATGTAATGTAGATTGTGATGTCATGTCAAGCGTGTCCAGTATTTTTGTTAAAACCATCTGGCAACCCTAATGCTTTCCGCAACCACCTGGACCCACTGTTCCACCCACCCACCGGGTTCTAAAAACTTTTTCCCTCTTAAGAACCAAAGCCATAAGACCCGTGCAGGACTAAAAAACACAGAGTCACCCAACCCACACTTCCAGTTCTAATGGGGGAGGAGGGTGGCAGAGAGATGAAAAACATGTTTTAGCCCATTTATACTTCTCAAGGAGACTCACTGGTGATTGCCTTCCCATGATCTGGGAGGCTGCTATTACAGGTTGCCTAGTTTCACTGTAGTTTAAGTACCCCTGAGCTGAAAACACCTTAGCAACAAACTAACATAACCTACTGTTTTTCTGTCCTATTGCTATCATTCCCCCTCTCCTCCTCCAGTAGTGGAAGAAGACCTTGAGCAATGTTTACGTGGGAAGAGCTAAAGCCACCTCCTTCTCACACTCCTTCTCACACCTAGATTTCCAGTGAATTTAGTTAATGCCCAGGCTCTGATCCCACAGGCCTGCTCCATTCAGGTAGATGCTGTCCCCCACATGCCTTTACAGATCCTCATTCAAGTCATTAGGGCTCAGTGCTGGAATATAGGCCACTGAGAACAGAAGAGTTTGCACAATTACAGCCGGGCTACATCTACACTGGCCCCTTTTCCGGAAGGGGCATGTAAATTTCACTAGTCGTCGTAGGGAAATCCGCGGGGGATTTAAATATCCCCCGCGGCATTTAAATAAAAATGTCCGCCGCTTTTTTCCGGCTTTTTTAAAAGCCGGAAAAGAGCGTCTAGACTGGCCCCGATCCTCCGGAAAAAGTGCCCTTTTCCGGAGGCTCTTATTCCTACTTCGAGGACTCCCCAGCTGACCCCGGGCTCTGCACAGCATTTCAGTGGAACCTGAGATCAACTGGGGACTCCCCAGCTGACCCTGGGGTCTGGGGAAATGCCGCCCAGAGCCTGGGATCAGCTGGGGAGTCCCCAGCTGATCCCAGCTTCCACTGAAATGCTGTGTGGAACCCGGGGCCAGTCTGGGCTCTGTGCAACATGGAGCTGGGGCCAACAGGGGACGCTGAGCCCCCCCACCCAGACACTGGGCTTCATGGCTTTGAAATGCATAAGAGGCATTGCTGGGGACTCTTGTACATTTCAAAGCAGGCATACCTGCAGGACTTCCCGCTGGCCCAAAGCTGCATGCAGAGTTCTGCATTCCTCCTTTGAAATGTACAAGAACCCCAGCGGAAGTACCTATCAGCTAGTCAATGGAAATTCCATTGACTACTCGACTAGTCATTTAACTGCCATTTAACATCCTTAGACTGAGCACTTCCTCCCTTCTTGATTAATCATGTAATCAACAGAATTTCTATCAACTACATCATTAGTTTCCTTACATCCCTAATATTGATTAAGGCCATCTAACTTGAACAACCAATTTCTCCAAGTGTTGGGGTAGGACATCTACACATACCTGTGCTTTTCTATGCATCTTTTTCCTGTCTGGGATGCCATAAACAAGAATAAGAACCCTCCATCCAGTAAGCCAGATATAGAGGAGGGAACTCAGGGAAGACATTCACACAAATTATATAGCATAGTGTCTCTCTCACGAGGAGCTGAAATCCTGCTTCCTCAACCACATGGGAATCTAAATGTGTTTGTGTGAGCTGTAAGAAAAAGCGGAAATTAGAACATAGGGAAAAGTTGGCATCATGCCCTTTGCTAAGACAGTGTATGAATGTAAGCTCTTTAAATGTAATTCTTTTTTACTGTAGCAATTTCAATATAATCATGTAAACTGGCTTTATGTATCTGTGTAAACACAGAACAGTAGACTACTGTGGAAGGTGAGTCAGCAATTATGCCTGGTTCTTCTTTTTGCCCAGATGCTACATTAACAGTCAAAGGAAATAAGATAAAGAAATAGAATCAGACTAATGTGTTGCAATGTATTTAGAGAGGCGTTTATTATAAGGAGTGTTTTTTTACAGTGAGGAGAAGGGACTCTTTGAAACATGTGACATTCTGAAGAGAGATGAGTGGAAGGGTAGAGGTCAACCTAGAGCCCAGCTCACTTCCACAGAGGCCCAAGCAAGGATTGCCTTTGCAGGATTGGGGCCTAAATGTAAAATGTTTGCTAGTTAGAACATGTGTCATGTTAGGCCCTGGTTCTTCAATCTTAATTTTGCATTACATGCAGAGTCTCGTTGAAGGTAGCACTCTAAATGGGCACAGGAGCATGCACCCATAGAGATCAGATTCCAGATCAGGGTTTCGAATGGCAGTGTTTTCTGCTTTTGAAATTGGTGTTTTCAAAAACATTTCCAAGAGGTCAAGCTGTTTGCTTGTAGACCTAAAGCATTCAGGTCTTACAGTGCACAAGTGAAAGACTGGTTTTCCCCCCCACTTTACATGGGAAAGAACTGTACTTTGGAACCAGGTTTCCAACTTTATGATGAAGGAAAGCCAGAGAATCAACGGGCAATTGGAGCCAAATTTGCAAAATTAACAGAGTTTAAAACCACATCAGATTTGACTGAGGCATGTAAATACAGTACCTATGTAATGGCACACACAAAGAAAGCACAAGGCATATAACTGCTAAAGCATAAGAAAGTAAAATTCAATCAGATCATATTCATTATTCAATAGCATACAGGGGAAGAATAATTAATTGGACAAGGAGCAAATTGACTCAGAAACCTAAAGTGAGCAATTGGCAAGATGTGTAGAAATCCACTAGTAAAGACATAATCTCACTTTCCTTGATATATGCTATATCAGTAGGCTTACTCACAGGTTTTACAGAAAAAAGATCCAGCCCACCATGATCCAGTGGGATCCTCAGGCAGGCTCCTTGCCTGCTGTGCCCCCACATGCTGCTGGCTCCTGCAGCCCTGTGTGTCTCTGCACCATGCACGCTATGGGGGATGGAGGGACTCTGCACACTGTAAGGTCCTGCAAGCATGGCTCAGGTAGCTCCCATTGGCCAGTTTCTGACCAATGGGAGCTGCAAGATTGTGCTGGGGTGAATGCAATGCAGAGAGCCTCCCCTGCACCCATGGGGCATGTGGTGCAGAGGTGCACGTGGCCCCAGCAACCAGCTGCTTTGAACAGAGTGCAATGTGTGGCAGAAGCTTCCTCAAGGGTTTCACTGCGTTGCTGGCTGGGAGCAGCCTACATTAAGCGCCTTCTGGGCAGAGCCTGCACCTGGTACTCCACTCCTTCCTCCCAACTCTCTGCCCTAGGTCATAGCTCAAACCCTCTGTACCCACTTTGCTGGTCACTACTCCCTCTCAGGCCCTGCACCCCGTCCCTCATGTCAAAACCCCCTCCTTCACGCAACTTCGCTCCCAGAGTGCCCCCCTCATCAAAAATTATTGCTCACCTCCATTTTACAGTCAGTTTTGCTGATGCAAAGATTGTCCTATAATGGGAAAATATTCACTGAATTGTAGACACATTTTTCAAATATATTTGTCTAATAAGCTACTCAATGAACACTGTTTGACCAGCACTAAATTCCTCATCTTTGGAAGGACAAAAACCCACTACCAAGCCAACACTCTTCCAGATTTTTTTACTCCAGAGAGACTCTTCCAGACCTAAAATTGTGATGTAGGTTTTGAATGGTTTGCCCTTCAGGTTTTGGCTTACTAGAAAAAAAAATTATTTAAACCAAGTATTCCTGATGTACAGAATTATTCTGAATGGATGAATGTCATCTACTTATCATCATGTACTTTAGAGTCACCATCTTAATCTTTCAAATCACAGTCGAGAATCTTATCTTCTCCTCAGATTTGATTCATGTCATATACACCTTTTCAGTTTTACAGAATATCATGGATAATGAAGTTTTGCTCCACAGATTTCATGTATCTTGTACTTATTTAATATGCAAACCTATTTCTTGATGCTTCTTTCAAACTTCTAAAGTAGGTATGTGAAACTGTAAGATAAACGGATTTAACTTTAGATTCGAATGTATTAAACTACATAAAATAAACACTAAATTTCTCAAGTTACTTCAACTGCAGCAGCAGCCATTAGAGGGGCTGTAAGGATGGAAAAGATGCCAACAAGTGTGTTCAAATA